ATCGAGTACCGGGAGCCCGCCGCATCGAAGGCATCGAAAATGTCCAAGGCGATTTGTTCCCCCGGCTCCCGAGGGCCCGGAAGAGAAGCAGGTCGACGGGCTTTTGGTGGCCGCCGTTCTTCGCACACACTGCACCTCAGCTGCTTTGCCGCTATTACCGCCTCAGGTGGCGCTCCTGCAATCACAAGCGCCCGAGCCAGTCTCAAAGGACTCCGGTGGCCCGTGTTCTCGTGCAGCCGACGCACAGCCTGCCTCACCGCAGTCGGAATGGGAATTTCGGTGCCCGGGTCCCGGCCTTGCTCTATGTCCTCATCATCGGACTCCGCCATGCCCCCCAAGCCTTCAAGAAGCTCGTCCTCCTCGGCGCCGGTCTCCGCCGCCAGGGTCTCCATCACATTCTCAGGGCCATGGTCCTCGTCGAACTGAAGCTGCATAGCATCCAGCAGTTCCTCCGCCAGGTTCCCGCCGGAGGTTCGCCGAAACGCCTCTGCCACAGCCCGGCTTGAGGTCACATAGCGCCGTCCATTCAAGGAGAAATCGAAAACACCCGGCTCATCCATCAGCTCCCGACCCTCCGGCGTTCGGTGAGGGTCAGCTCCACGAAGAAGCTCCAAGAAGAAGTGCCGGCCAGACCGCCGGTGGGCGAGAGCCGATTGCATCACAGAAGCCTCGGCATCCAAAATTTTCTTTTCAGCGGCGAGTCTGGCTTGGCCTCTCGAGTAATTCAAGAAAGGCGAACGGCCGGAAGCACGAAGCATCAAGAAGTAAGGAAGCGTAGCATCGGGTTGCCGCCCAACAGCATGGCCTCGTGCCGTCGCCAACTTGCACACGTCAGCCACCAAGGGGTGACGGTCACCAGGTCGGGGCACATACTGCATGTGGAGGAAGGGCTCGTGGAGGGCCTCGTCATAGATCTGGTCCCGCATCACGGCAAAGGCCTCATAGATGTTTTGCGGGCTAGCCTTCACGAGCTTGCGGTCATACTTGCCCTTATTCCAGGCCTGGGAAATCAGAAGACGCTGGCCTGCCTTGAGCTGCTGTCGAAGAGGAGGAATCACAGCTCGTTGTCGTGCACCTGTTGGAAGCCCATGTCGCTGTCCGGAGATAGGCCACCGGCCCCATCCGACGGCTGGCTGCCGCTGTTGGCCATCGCCATCACATGCTGCATAGTCTGGTGGAGCAGCGACTCCAGGCGATGATCCCGAGCATCCAATCGTGCCTCCATCATGGAGCTTACTTGTTGCAGCAGGTCGGCCTGGTTCACGGCCGACGGTTCCATAGGCCCGGCTGTCCTCGGCCCCATCTCCAAGTGCAGATGCCCTTGAGGAGCGCCCGGAGGTTGAGGTAGTCCCGCCGAAGATGCCGCCGGCGTCGTCGTTGATGTAGTGGGAGGCGCCGCCTGAAGAGGTATGCCCTTGAGAGCATCGAGGGTCGGCCGCAATTTGTTCTTGAGCTTTTCCACTGTATCCTGCGCGCTCACCTCCACGTGCAACAAGGTGGCCAGCCTGATGAGGTCTTGCTTTAAGGTAGGGAGGCCTCCTTTGGGCCCCAACAAGGCCCGAGCAGCCGTCAACTGCTCCTCGCGCGTTTTCTTTTCGGCTGCCTCCTTCTTCAGTTTCTCCACCAACTGACCATGTATGGCGGCTCGAACTCCTTTGGTGTGGCGGGCTGCCAGCATTCCATCCAACATCGGATCCTCCAAGAACGCCAGCCTGATGCCCAGCCGGTCCCTCAAGTAGGCCGCGTCCTTGAGCAAGCCCAGGTCCTCGAACTTGTTCTGGAGGGCAGCCGCACGGAAGTGCCGCCGCGACAGGCCCCCACTGCGAACCATAGCTTCGGCTTGCTCCTTCCACTCCGACGGGGACCGAGTATTGCTGTACGGTAGGGGCACGTAGCGCAGCAACGGCCGCTGCAGCAACCAGAGCAGAAGCCCAGCGAAGTGCCACACGTTTCTTTCGAGGAGGCGCAGGCACATCCTTCGAAACCTTGCGACCACTCGCACTGCCCTTCCGGAGTCCATTGGTACCGCGAGAAAACACAGGCACCTCAGAGTGGACCATCGAATTTGAAGATTTTGAACCGCTGTGGCCATCATGCGTTTCCCTTGCCGGCTCAACGACCAACTGTTCATGCTCACGACCCTTCACAGGCACACCCTTGACTGCAGCAGCACGACGGAGGCTCCACTCAGCACCACTGATCTGCACTTCAAGGATCCCGTCCTGGCCTTCGCGGCGCCAAGGTCTGGTAGTCGAACCCCAGGCCCGCGGGAACACGTCAAGGAAGAAGTGACCTGCCGAGAGTTGCCGGAGAGGGATACGGGAACCATCCAGGTGATCTGCTCGCAAAGCCCGACGGGTAAAACTGATCACCCCACCGACGGCCTCGAGGAAGTCTCTGCCGAGAAGAAGCCCCAGCGATTCCACCTCGACAACGCTTGTCCAGACTAGCACACATGACTGCCCCACAACCATAGGAAGGCGATGCCGGGAATAGCTTGCCTTCACCCCGTCGTTGCCGAACTTGAAGTTCTCTCTCTCGGGCTCGGTCTTCACAAGGGGCTGCAGCGCCTGCCACAAAGGAGAGTTAGAGAGTGCTTGCAGGTAGCCCTCCAGCCAGAACCGCCCGCACACCGTACGGTTGCAAGCGCTGTCGAGCGCACCCACAAGTCTTTTATCCACCGCCATTGCGCTCTGAACCTCGTGCGGCTGGCTGGCCTCAAGTGCTTCCGCAAACGACCCCACATTCGTCACAACAGCCGTCTCGTGGTACTGGTCTGGCTCGGCCGTCTCCTGGGTCGCCTCGGCGGAGAAAGTCTCAGCCAGCTGCACCCGGCGCTGCGGAGAGGATCCCATTGTCGCGCCCCCCGTTCTCGACGAAGGCTTGGGCCTTGCAAGGCCAGCCCCAGGCTTCGGGCACCCTTGGTCGCCAGCCCAATGTCCCGGCTGGCCGCAATCATGACAAACTCCACGTTTCTTGAAGCCCGGCTTGCTCGGCGACTGCGGCGAAGAAGGCGCCGACGATGCCTTGCCAAAGCCCCGGTCCTTGCGTACCTCCTGCAGCTTATGGCGCGCCTCTCTCATCGTCAGCAAGGCTTCGGCCGCACTCTCAACCGTGCCTTCCACTTGCTCCAACATCTGTGGCTCCAGCCCTTCCGCCTCGGCCTGCTCGAGCTCCGTTGCCAAAGCCTCAGCCTCAGCCTCGAGCACTTCATCCAGGGAGAAGCCGTTGCCGTCCTCCTCCGGGACAAGCTCTTCTTCATCATGGTCCTCTTGCGTCTCCCCGTCATCCTCGCCAAGCTGCTCGGCCGCATAAGCCTGCCGAGTCCGCTGCCCAAAGAAAGACCGGCGAGGAACAAAGGAGCCAGGCTTGCCACCACCTTTCGCAGATGAAGCTCCCCCGCTGGGGGCCCGGTTCAGCACCGATCCCGTGCTAGCCCCGCGGTACACGGAAGACGCCGTAGACGAAGAGGAGGAGTAGCCACCAAAAGGGCGGCCCCGGCCTTTATCAGGAGGACCCAGCCGTCTCATCAATGGATCCGCGGCATGGAGGTCCTTGAACAAGCGCAGGGCCTCCGACTCGACGTCCTCAAAGCGTTCTTTGCCCTGCAAGGCTGTCTCCAACAACTGCTTCCTCAAAGGATCCAAGCCCAGCTTCTCACGAAGGAACCACCCAAGCTCTGAAGAAGGTAATTCGATGCCCTCGCTCTTCAGCTCAGCAGCCAAGAAGCGAAACCGGGAAAGGAAATCAGCCGGCCTCTCCCCTGGCTTCCGCATCAAGTCGTTGTAAAAGAGCTTGCGCAGCTCGCCCTTCTTATCCAAAGCGCTGGTTCCATTCATGCCCTCCAGCGCCTTGAGCAGCTTGTTCAAGCCGGCCAACAGGTCCTCCGGGGTCACGATGATCTCGACCCCTTCGGGGTCCTTTGCTCTCACCTCCTTCTGGTAGGTAAGGTCCTCCGGTGAGAACTCTTCCCCTCTCTGGCGTACGATCCCCGACTGCCGGAGCAGCCATCGCGCCGCCAGGTTGTACTTCTTCGTGCTTTCCAGGTCTAGAGAAGAGACCCACCATGCCATTTCCTTCCGGAAGGCCCTCCACGTCACAGGGCTGCCATCCCAGGTTGGTACCTTGTACCAAGCCGATGTCGTCTTGTCATCGTCCGCCATGGCCTCGAAAAGGAGCTGTAGGGCAGCCTAGCTGCTGCCAAAAGAAAAGAACTCAGTCACAAACTCCACGGGGTGCCTAGCTGCACCCAAAAGAAGCCTCGAAGAAGCCCCAGCCAAAGAAGCCGGACCAATCCGGACTGCGAGGGCCTGCCAGGCAAAAGAGGTTTTCGAAGAAGGGCCGAAGAAGCCGGAGCGGTCCGGGCAGCCACAGAAAACCGAAGTAGCAGAAGAGGTCGAAGTAAAAAGAGGCGAGGCTTCCCTCGCACCTGTGTCCCTGCTCGCTTTCGTCCCAAGCCCAGCCAAAAAAGGTGCAGCTGCACACAGCCAAGCCCGGCACGGCTATCTGTGGGAGCTTTCACCACAGGTCGTGCCAGCGAACTCGCCGAGGACAAGGACACCCGCCAAGGGCACAATGACGTAGCACTGGCCCCGCAAAGTGGTAAAAGAAGCGGAGGTCGGCAGAAGCAAAGCGCACAAGGTCCCACACGATTGCTCAGGCTCCGGTGCCACTATGCAACCCTGGTGCACAGGGCCGCAACAGGCTCTAACCTTTTGCCTGCCAGTAGCGATATCTGGGTCAAGGCCTAAAAGCAGCGGACAGAAAGAGAGCGTCTCCTCACACGGTCAAGACCCACTGGCACAAGCCTACGGTTCCACAATTTGATTGGCGGGGCTGCAGCGTGGACAGTGAAGAGAAGATGCTTCAGATTCTTGTGCAGCTGCTTGTGCCAGCTTCTGTTCCAGCCGTTGACCAACTCACTAGCCCTGCAAACTGCCAACAACGCAAATGCCAGGAGTCAGAGGTGCACAACTCACCGTCTTCCAACGTCGACGGGATCACTTGAAGCGGTCGTTGCTGAAGAAATGGAAGGGGTTGTGAACTTCCTGCACCCAGGAATACACTGACTAAACACTACATCGTGAGAGAACAAAGTTCTCGGCACAATCTGCAGTGACATTGGTAGTACCGGCCGCCAACTCAAACGGGCCCGATGCTGTCCTTCCAGTCAGCCTTGTTGTTCTCCACCTTGTTCACTACCTGGCTCGGACTAGTGACCAGTGCAGCGGTGCCAAGCAGCAACGATCTGGATGGCTGTCACAGCGCCTCGTATCCTCGCCGAAACTCGTCGAACAGAATCCGCTTCGTGGTGTCGGTTACACTATGCCTGGGGTAGCCCAGTCGGCAGCCAAGCAATGATGTTGAATCAGGGCTTCAACGCTCTCGTCCTCCAGCCAAATTTTAAGCGTGCTCACAACTTCATACTCCCACCTTCCAGACTGTGGCCAAGATCAGGCAGAAATCTCTCGCAGCCGAGCAGCTTAGACTTCATTGCCGGACAGGCCGGGGTGATGACTGGCATCAGGTGCTGCCTCGCTGCTCGCTTTGGGCAATCTAGCAGAATCTAGCATGACCCCAGGATCCGCTTGCGGTCCATCTGGTGTTGGCGATCTGTTCCAACTTGCGGCCCAGGTGCTTGTCGGCAAGGCGTGTCTTCGGATTCCAGGGCTGGCAAGGCTGAAAGATTGGAAAGACTGCACTTGCGCTTGGGGCCGGTCCATGAGCTGACGTGCTGAGACTCCCAAGACCAAAAACGGCCTTTGGGCTGAAGACTTTGGAAGTTCTCTCGCGAAGGACCTGCACTGCGGTCCCGAGCACAGGGCACTCAGTAGGACTTGGCAGGAAACCTACAGTAGCTCACTCTGTCGTGCCTCCAGCAGCTTGCCGGATTTTGCCCCCTGCAGAAGCGCATCTCTGGCTGTCTGTCGCATCTCCTCCACGGTCGCAGCCTCCCAAGCGCATGTCACTGTGAGGGTTGGAGTGCGAGTTCGGTTTGAAAGGTTTGGCACCAAACCTTCGAGACGGAGGCCGAGGAAAACCGATCTGCAACCTGAGCTCAGCCGGGCACCGAAGGTGCAATGAGACTTGCTCGTCTTTGCAGTGCTGGCCCCCATGCTGCACCCGGAAACAGCGACCCTGAGCACTTCAAAAACTTCTTTAGCTGCCTCCTCCAGCTTCTTGGCGTCAGCCTCCTGCTCCTTCTTATCCTCTTCTGCCCTGCGCTTGGCCGCTTCCTCTGCGCGAGCCTTCTCGGCGTCCTCCTTCTCCTTTGCCTGCTCCAGCTTCCTGGCACATGCCTCTTGGTTTTTCTTCGCCACTGCCTTGCGCCTGGCCTCCGGCAGCACTCGTACAGGTTTACATGCTGAACCGGTGGGTGCTTGAAACAGCAGAGCCCTTACAGTACGAGAGCAAGTTCTGCTGCGTCTACATGCCCGGCCGAAAACATGCAAAGCATCAGATAACTTGAAATTCGGTGAAGTCAAGGCCTGCTGGCAGAAGCTCAGGTTGCACGTACTCTTAGGTACATGCATGCTTGCTCACTTGTTTACTTGCGTGTTCGCCCACCTGTCTGCACAAAATCTATTGTCAACAGATGTGTGCGACATGCAATGCCTGCATGCGTACATACGGCAGACAGAACTGCAGGCACGCACGGCAGCTCGCATGCCTTTGTACACACATACACACAAACAGACACATTTGTTGAGGGGTATCGGGGGGGTTCTGTAAGCTTGACTTTCAATTTTTTCCACAGCATCTTACCTTCAAGCCAAGGACCCGAAACCCATTGGCCCAAAAACCAATCCGAGGCAGAATAGGCCTTGCGCTTGCCGTGCCGCTTCTGTTCGGGGGTTCAAAGGAAGGAACGCGGCTGTAGCACTTTGCAGCAGGCCTCTTTTGACACCGTGTCGTCTTTGTTGACGTCGATGGCCTTGAGAAGGCTCGTCGGGCATCCGAAGCGCGGGCAACAGGGTGAGAACCACAACCTGGCCTCGAAAGCCGCAGCAAGCGTTTGCTTGACCTCGCTTAATTCTGCCGATGCGGCTTCACGGAAGGCACCACCACACAATTCACATTGAATGTTGCTAAGCCTGACACGTCCTTCAACTCCTGCGCACAAGCTCGATTGCGCGTTTCGGCTCTTGTTAGACTCAGCACGATTGACTCTATAAACTATAGTTCTACACATTTTTTCTTGGGTCTCAATATGTTTCACAAAAGCAACAACATGTATTGAGCAATCTCGTGTCTTTTCGAAAAAAACCAGACCAAGCTCATGTTCGCCGCCTTCCGCAACGCTTTCACCTCCTGCGGGGCCAACACCACAGCTATGACTCACCCCAAGACACAACTTCGGTACAATCCTAAACGAATTCCGACAAAAGTCCTTCAACAGCTTGAACATCAGTTGCTTCTGCATCGAAGAGATCCTTGACCTCAAGACGCACAAGAAGAATGTACTGCACAGCCGACCTTGATATCAACACGAGAAGGGCTTCTCTTCGCACTCACACCCTGAGCCTCATATAGCATATTCCGGACAGTTTTGACATGTACATGCTCATCACATTGTTGGTGAAGTTAAACCATGATATGCAGTAAATAGGGGTCTGGGGTTGCTGTACAAAGTTGTTACCCGTCTTTCCTGGTTACCTTTACGAATTTCCACGAAGTCAAACTGTGTCACAGACTGTTACTTTTTGGTACCGTCGACACTTTTGCAACTTACGGCAGATCCGGTCTCGCAAAAAAGCTAAACTGGGCTCAAGAGATGTCGTGACTCACAGCCCGATCAACCACAGCAGCGGTTTACCAGCAGTCGAACATGTAGAAACACTCACGGTTTGCATGGTCCACATTGTTTGTAGCCACGGGACATAGCTTGTGCCTTCACCATTGTGGACTCATTCTACTTGCCTTGGTCACAACTCCGCAGTCTTGACGATGATCGAAATTTCCATTGCCAACAGTCCATACGATCTGCTGTGCGTCTCGCACACAGCAAAAATTTCTCTGGAAAGTCCCCAAACAGTCTCGCTGTAGGGATTCTCTCTTCAAAGCACTGTCCGCGCTAAGGTAAAATGGCGTGTCCGCGCCCCGCTCCTTGTGTGGGTCGATGATACTGTGTTGATGCTCACCTCACCGAGCGTGTTGATAAGTTGTTGCTGCCCTTTACGAACTTGCAGTTGTCAACCTGTATCCAAAGCAGTCCCTGCAGGCAAACTCGGTCCGAATGTGCTCTCGCCAGAGACACGCGACGAATTGTCTGTGCAAGGGGATGGCTCGAATCCTCAAGATCAGTAGACCAGAAGCACTTTAGCTTGTATGGCAATAGTTGATATGCCGAAGCATATTCTTGAGCCAAAGTTGCGTTGTGTGCAGAGAAATTATGGCAGGCACTGTCGCATGGTCCGGCTAGCGGGCCCAAGCGCGGGCAACATAAAAGCAGTGAGACAAGATCTGCAAGACGGTGCCTTGCTCTATGTACATGGTGGCACATGACATCAGATTCATAGCTCAGATTGCGACACCTGCGAATTGGACTAAGCATCGAGGTCCGTTCGCACCCCCCATGAGTTGCGTCTCTGGCACTACACTCACTTTGGAAGAGAGTCGCGATTAGACAAAAAGAAAATATCCGCCGCAACTTTGAGGATTGTTTAGGATAAGAGCCATGAGTTCTCAATTTAAAGGTTGTGACACTTCTCTACGTCAGTGACGATCCCCTGAAATGACTTCGCGGAATCAGAGAGACACCGAAGAAATAGGCCACGATTGGATTCCACCTGCACGTAGTAGCCAGTGCCACGAACTTGCCAGCAGTGAAAGACGATATGACCGATTGTCTTCCTCCCAGCGCCGGAGACGTTGACGTTCACGCTCACGTTCCTTAGGAGTCTTGGACTTGCCTGTGCCTCTGCCCTTGTCGACATGGGTGTTGGCATTCCAAGGACGCCGATAATACGGTATAAATGCTCACCTCACCGAGCTTGTTCACATAGTTGACAGTGGTGGCTTTCTACGATGCAGTAGCCAGTCGTACTGATACCAACGCAATCGCTGGCAAACTCGGCTCACCCTTTTTCGCGGGAGAGATACTCGCAGCGAGTTGTCTGTGCAGACAGGAATTGTTCAATCCTCAAGGCTCGTTAGACTCGACAGTAGATGAGTAGATTCACTCATATTCTTGAGCCTAAGTTGCGTTGCACGCGGAGCGTATGGTAAAGTGACTTGTCGCCGGGTCCACACAGTGGTACCGGGCTACATGGTACGAGGCCCACACAGTGGCTCCTCGACCCATGGACATGGCGTACCATGACATGTGGCTCATAGCTGTCATACCTAAAGAAGCGACACCTACGAATTGGACTAGGCATCGAGGTCCGTTCGCACCCCCCATGAGTTGTGCCTCCGGCACTGCTCACACGAAGAGAGTCGCGATGGAAACAGAAAAGGCTCCGCAGCAACTTTGGACATTGCTGAGGATAAGAGCTTTGACTCCCAATTAATAAGGTTGTGACATATCACTACGTCGGTAACGATCCCGGGAAACATCACTCGCAGAATCAGAGAGTCATCGAAGAATATCAGTACGGATGCCGCCGCACATGAACGAGCGTCACACAGATGACGATGTAGAGACTCACCCTTGGTGATCTCTTGCCCATCGTCCCGCTTGCCGACGGGCCTGCTCCCTTTCAGCGGGACGTCGGTTCTTGCCCTTGCCCTTGTCAGCAGCAGTGTTGGCATTGTACCGTTGACGGTTCGCAGAAAATGCCTGTGCCCCAGATTCTCGTCCGACTTGCGCACGTTGTTCTGCCGTCACGGTTGTATCCATGATGGACGCTTGCCCACGGGACAGATACTCATGCGGTGCAATGTGCTCCAAAGCTCTTCGTCTTCGAATAAGGCACGAGGATTGTTTTCGGCTTCCGCACGGTTCTTGATGAACTTGTCCAGGTATTTCCTTGGCACAGGGGTGTCACTGTCGATGAGCATGCCGACGGTTGTGACGCTGACGTCTCCAAGACTCACATTGGCCATCACCCCAACAGAGTCAATGAACAGGAATCCGACCGGACCAGAAGGAGCGGGACGAATGAGCGAAAAGAGCTGGTACCACGTGAGCTTGGGAATGATGTCGCTGAGAACGCCCACACAGCTGCCGTTCTCGTAGTTCTCTTTTGACTTCAGGGACGTCTGGTACATCTGCAGCAGCAGGCTGCTGTCTTTGGTTGTGAGATACAGGCGGAAGCTTCGATCGACAAAAACTAAAACGCTGAGAAAATTCAATCGCGATTGAACTTTTTCAATCGGCGGTCCTGTGGGATGCTCCGGAACAGGATCCTGGGAGTAGCCGAGGCAGGCCGCCTCATTAGACGCCACCGTGTTCCCCGCCGCCCGGCTCTCGCCGCCGTGCTCCTCCCGTTGGCGAAGACGCCGGCACGGAGACGGTTTCTGGAACCGGTTGTCGCCGCCACGACTGTGGACCCGAGGTCGCAGCCCGTGTGGAGCCTCTGGCCGCTTGCGGCATTTCTTCAGTTTTGTGCGCAGCACCTAGCTGCTTGCCGAAAGGGTGGCAGGGTGGCGTATCCGCTCTATAAATCCCGGACGCTCGTGGCTAGGGAGGCACGGCTATGCTCCCGAAGCGCGAGGAGTAGCGCCGTTGCTTCGGCTGCTCGTCTCACCAGCCCGTGGCCGCTGTGCGGCGCGGACTGTGGAAGGCTCAGAGCCTCGTGCCAGGAGTGCCGAGAAAAGTAAGGGGTTGCGCGTGTGTTCGGTTTAGGAAGGGTTGTCGGGTAGGTTTTTGGCAAAGCCTCCGGCCGCCCGCTGCCCTAACGACACACCCCGTGCCCTCGGCTGAGGGCGAATGTGACTGTACATAGTCTACGGGCTGTGCTGTGAGACTTTGTGCTTTTATGCATGTGTACTGTGAATTCGTGTTCCATAACATTTTTGGCTCAAGCGAGCACGGCAGTAAATCGTAGGTTGCTCCGTGTAGCCTGCGATATATTGGCGGTGCGCAGCACGCTCCTGTGGTAGACGTGCGACCTGACACGGTCGCGGGACTTCTGCAGCAGAGCACGTAAACGGGCGGCGCACGATTGCCTGGTGGTAACTCTGCCCCGCTGTGCTCCTTCACAGTAAGCTCAGAGTTCGTTGCATCAATCCTTGCCAAGCCAAAGAGTATGAGTGTGTTTTTGTGTGTGTATGTGTGTGTGCGTTTGTGCGTGCATGTAAAATTACTTGCCTGCTTGTGTCTTTAATTCGCGAATTTTCTTCAAACATGCAACTATTGTTTATGTAGTTGATAGTTCTTTACATATTGGATCAGTTGTCTGACTTTTGCTTACTTGTATTGTCGGCCAGAATCTAGAAACAATGTATAGAACCTGTGCAGGAGCAGATCTTTGGCAGACGGTTGATGGGATCCCCCCACCCTTTGGGGCAATTGTGTCTGCATGCCCTCCCCTGGATCAGCACCTGGTCTTAATTACGTTCTTTGTGACCCTGAAGGCTGCCGTTCCACCCAGGCGTCCGAAGCCAATCTTGGCCCTTTTGCATGCTGGAAACGATCAAGAGCTACATCACTTCGCGTGCCATCATGTGCGGAATGACATGGGAGATGAGGCTTGACGGATCATGTGTGGAATCCGCAAGTGTCCGCAAGCGTGGATAGGATTCCCTGAGGCTCCCACACGGAAAGCGGGGGTCAAAATCACCTCGGCAAGTTTCATGGTGCTTGAGGAACGTTGCCCCACAGACAGCTGTGCAGACACAGCACAAGAAGCATCCTCCATGCCAAAATGACATGGAGAAGGCTCTGTGCGCTGAGCTTCCGGGCAGAAGCTCAGCGACCACACAGATGACCCGAGTGAGCCGAGAGCGACACGCTCAAGAAGGGGTACATCAAGAGAGGCTTCCGTCTTCTCTAAGCACATGGCACTTTCAAGCGTGCGCCCTCCAAGCAACGCAAAATTCACACGAACCTGCACCCCCTGCATCTGTTCATTCAGGCTGGAGCAGAAACATAAGACGACAGTATCTGAAGACTGGAAATCTCGATGACCACAACCAATATCGCGTTGATCGGCAGACAAGAATAGGTCGTTGGTGCTGGCAGTCGTATTTCGGACAGTACTTGCAATACTGTTGGAAGAGCAGCAGCAGAGTGAGTCGTCGTCATGCCCCGCCACAACGAGGTAAGGTCGAGCATGCAGGAACGGTGCCTTTGCTTTAGGATTTTGGATATGGGGCTTTGGAGCTTCTAACTTGTAGGCTTTCGGGTTCAGTTTTGTGGGGTTCTATGGTGATTAGGACCTTTAACGCCTATTCCTCGCAGCACTGCATACCAAAGGGAGCATAAACCTCACATCTGGATGGAAACGGGACAGGCGTTCTGGCAACTTTCTGGTCACA